GAATATGCAATGGGAGGAAAATTTTCAGAAAAATCTGATGTATTTAGTTTTGGAGTTTTGGTGTTAGAAATCATAAGTGGGACAAGGAACACGACCTTTTACAATGACGACTCTTCTTTGAGCCTTTTAGGATACGTAAGTACACTACAAATGGTATGAAAATCTTCAGTGATACTGTTGTCTATCATGAAAATTTCTCCTAATCTTTTTCAGGCATGGAAACTGTGGAACGAAGACAATGCAGTGATTTTGATAGATGGAAGAATATCAAGTCCAGGTTTTTCAAAAGAGATTTTGAGATGCATACATATTGGATTATTGTGTGTTCAAGAATTCCCTTTTAAAAGACCGAATATATCAACTGTTCTGTCAATGCTTTGTGGTGAAATTATAGATCTGCCTTTGCCGGAGCAACCTGCATTTATGCAGAACTTGATGCGTTCTTTTTCTTCTTCCCAAAACCATACGAATACGAGGGGATCTTCCAACAATGTCAGTATCACCACAATGTTTGAAGGACGATGAATTTCATTATGTTAATATTTCTTTGTTTATCTTTCCATTTGTAATATGGACAAAACTTTTATGTTCAAACAATAGAGAAATTGTATATATTGAAGACAGATTTCTTCTGTAGATCTATCTGCTATCAGTTTCTAACTTCGAAAGAAAGACATCCTCAAACACAAAATTGGTGATGGGGTGCATTGATTTATATGAGAAATGGTGAAATTGTATCAGAAGGCAAGAGAACTGATAGAATTTATATACAGCATGTGGCATAGATTTTTACAAAATTTTAAGAGTACACTTCCCAAGCACTCTTTCAATGCTTATTTGGGTAAAACTTGGATATGAGTACTGCAATAAGGGGTAAAAAAGGCAGTCTTTTCAGTGGGACCATGTTAGAAATGTCTCAAAGTTTGGCAAATGATGAGATACAAGGACCCAAAATTCTTGGAGTGGTGCTGGCAGGGCCGGTCCTGAGCACAGGCCTGTGCCTCAAGCCCAAAATCACAAAGGGCCTATTTTGGTCCGAAGTTTTATTTATTTATTATTATTTTTAATATTAAAAGAAGGAAAAGAAAAAGGAAAATAGTTTTTTCATTAATTGTGAGATGATTAAGATATTTGTTTGTTGTTTTAATCTTAAATTTTAAGTTAACAATATGTTATATAATATATCGCTGAATTTTGCATTTACGTTGATTTTGGGGGCCTAATTTTTGAATTTCGTCTCAAGCCCCGATAATCATAGGACCAGCCCTGGGTACTGGTGTGTGTGTTCTTACCGGTATAAATTGTCATATGGAATAACTAGTTCAAAACTTTACGCTGTCTTTGATTTTAACTTTACTTTGTTTGAACTACACAATGATTAGATTTAAATGAAAAGATATATAATCTTTATGCATGAGTATCGTATGATTTGAATATGAGAATTTTATTAAATTTTGAACAAGTAGGGAATTGTTGTTTAAGCATTCAATAAAAACTAAGTGGAGTGAAATTGAAAAAACCAAACGGCCAAGAGTTTGGCCCATGCGATCGCATGGGCACTAACAGGGACTTATATCCCAGTTTGGAAGAACTCCATACGGTCGCATGGTACAAAGAATCCGATTGTTGGAGGTCGTTTTTGGCCATTGCGGGTTTGAATTTGGTGAAGTTTCTTGCATGCTTTGGCACCATTTCATGTGTATGATCGAGGCCTATAAATATGATATCATTATTCATGCCAAAGATGCATTGAAAACACTTGAAATTCATCCTTTTTCCACGTCAGAGATCAAAACCCAGATTTACATTTATATTTATATCCAATATTTTCCTTGTGTTCTTAAAGTTTTGGAGGATTGCACTTATATTTTAGTACTAAATTTTTTACAAGGCTTGATATAATCTTACAAATCATTTGCCAAAACCCATAAGCATCTCATTTCGATTTCGAGAGGGGGCAAATTAATGCAAGTACAACATAAGAATTTATGTGGTTTGGCAATCATACTTACACCCACAAACCCACACACACCAATTATTCACTATAGCCCTTGTTTGTATCCCATTCTTTGGAAAAAAAAAAAAATACATTTTTAAGCAGTATTTTGACATTATTTTAATCACACGTTCTTCAATAAAATATTATTACACCCAAATTCAAAACTTTTCCTTATTTTGTAACCACACATTTCAAATCATTGCACTATTTAAAAATACATTTTTTAGGCGAAAATGGGGCTCAAACAAGGGCATATCAACAAAATAAGAAAAGAAATACAATACACTTTCTACATTTTATTTGCCTAGGCAAAGGCGATTCAATTTTCTCTCACTATGTATCTGCACAACTCACTCTCTGTGTTTACGCTATGTATTTATGTGTTTCGCATTTATCACTTTCAATCTGCACATTCTATTTATAGGGGATGTTAGCAGACATACTTTTCTCCTTTTTGACATTTTGGCTTCAATTGTGAGCATATCCATTCTATGCATTTAATTTCCATTCTACAATTGTTGATAGATTTTGTTTTTATCGCGGAAAATTTAAAAAAAAAAAAAAGAAAAAAGAAAAATTGGAAAATGGTGGGAATTCGGTTTTCCACCATTTCAAGGAAAAGGCACATGCGTGGGGGAAAATGTGAAAATCGAATTCCCTAAAAAAATTAGCACTCAAACACCACATTTTTGGTGGAAAATGAAAAATGTGTCCAATCAAACATCGTCTTAGGATAAATGAGGAAGGCATTTTCATTTCTAGAAGACATTGAAATAAATAAAAATCGAAAATGAAACTTCTTCTTTCATTCCATTCATTTCCCAAAAATGGACAAATCGAGAGTGAGCCATCAATAATGGAATTATTGACTAATAAGGGGACATGCGACGACTGAACAGGAGAGTAGTACATAAGTGGGTCATCAATTCATTTCTCAACTTGCTCAACTTGCCACTTTCTATTGCCTAAGTAGTACGCATTGTATGAAAGCTTTGAATTATTGTTCTTCGTAGAATTCCAATGGAACGGGTCATTAGAAAGCTATATAAACACAAGAAGATTGGGTTTGAAAATTATTAAAGAATAAAGTATTACATATTTGTAATGATGTGTTTAATGCAATATCTAACATAATTAAAGAAGAAAGTTTAAGGGTATTTATATTCCCACAACAATTTTTTATATACGCACCACATTTTAATTAAAAAGAAAGGTTTTCGATATTTGCTTACTTTTGCTTTTATGTCCTCAATTTTCTCTCATCACATTGTTATTCTCAACCTTCAAATAATTAACATATTTTGTCACTAATCATGATTTTTACCCAAATATTCTGCAAACGTGCATTGTAAAGATGGGCAATTTTTTTAATAATTATTTATTTTGATTATTTAAAAATATTAGGATCTGTTTGATAGTGTTGCATTCCATGGAAAATGTCACGTTTAAGAAATTCGTTTTCTACCTTGGTTATTTGATACGAAAGTGAAAATATTAAATATAGTTCGAATTCTAAGGTACAAACACTTAAATATATGTTTTTGGTCAATTCCATGGAAATCGAATTCTTATAATTTTGATGATCTTTTCTTTTCCAACTTATATGAAATTAATTTATTTTTTCCACCTTTACTATCAAACGAGCCCTTAGAGATAATTATGTTTTTTTTCTTGGAATAAGTTCAATCTATGTGCGCTATTGCCATATGAATACGCGTTTTCTTTTACCAAATTTTTCAATCCATCTAATTTTTAAATAAAATATATCTAATCAATCGACAAACTATACTGTAACCAGCCACTATTTAAGTCAATAATTGAAGGCTAATGTCTTTTTCTTTTTGAATTATTAAAAATAATACATCATTGTCTTATACTGAAAGTTGAAACGAATTTACTCATAAATATTTAAATATTGAAAGTTGAAGTTACTTTACTCGTAAATCAACTAAGGCCCCGTTTGGTAGGAATTTTTTGCCTCAAAAAATTGATTTTTTGATCGTTATTTTACTATTCAAGCCGTAATTTTTGACTTTTTTTCTCACATGTAGACCCCACTTTTTTTCTAACGGTCAAAAAATCAATTCTCAAAATTCCTACCAAACGGGCCCTAACTCTGCATTACACAAAAGAATAAAAAAAGACCAAATAATAAAATTTTCAAATTAGATCCCAAAGCTGAGAGTTCTTGGAAAGAGCAATACGTTCAATTAGTCATGGTCTTAAACAAAGTCTGCAAAATGGTGGTGGAGTCCACACTTGACAATCAATAAGTGAGAATTTGATCAATTTTGAAAAAATTAAACACAACTAATATTATTTAGGTCCCGTTTGGGAGGTATTTTGAGAATTGATTTTTTGACCGTTAGAAAAAAATTGAAGTCCATTTATGAGAGAAGAAGTCAAAAATTACGGTTGAAATAGTGAAATAACGGTCAAAAAATCAATTTTTGGGGGTAAAAAATTCCTCCCAAACAAGCTCTAATTGTGCTACTTGTGGTCATGTACATGTTGTTTACCAACAGATGATATGTCAAGATATGATCGAATCAAATTTTCACTAATCGACTAAAAAAAATTAAATTTTCTCACTCATTTTTTGCCACGTCATCAATCTTCAAAAGAATACGATGATATATAAATAGTATTGTTCATCTGCTTACCCTACTCCGATCGAGTAACCCCACCAATGTAGCCCCACCATGGAACGCGTGTTGTTTAGCTATCTTGGGAAATTGTAGAAAAGCATGTAAATAGCTCTTAATGTAATTTCTTCACACCCCGGCCCGGCGTCGAAAGCAAGACTGAGAGTTGACGTCAATTTCCCTCGATGCTATATATAATGAGAATCAATATAGATTTTACCAACAAATACCATTGGCTATTATTTACTTATTAGCAAACTTCTCACATAATGGCCTTTTCTCCCACAAATTTCTTTGAATTAACCATGTCCAGAAGCCATATCATTAAACTTTTTCTTCTTCAGTGCCTATTCATTCTACTGTGTCTTCCTCGTTTAGGATTTTGTGCAGAAACAGACAGTATTACAAGAAATCTTGTCCTAAAAGACCCCGACACCATATCATCAAGAGGCAACGTTTTCAAAATGGGATTCTTTTCCCCTGATAATACCACCAAGAACCGCTACTTTGGTGTATTTTACAGCGTTTCTGAATCAACGGTGATATGGGTTGCCAACAGGGCCAACCCAATTCCAGATTCTTCCGGCAGCATAACGATATCACGAGATGGAAATATCGTACTAATGAATGGAGAAAGTGAGATAGTTTGGTCATCAAATGTTACGACCTCTTCGGTTAATGCCAGTGCCCAGCTTTTGAGCACTGGAAATCTTATTCTGCGAGATAATTCAAGTGGGCGTACGTTGTGGGAGAGTTTTGGACATCCGTCCAATAATTTTGTGCCCACTTTGAGGATAATTGATAACATAAATACAGGTAATAAGGTGGTCGTGTCCTCATGGAAAACCCCGACGGATCCGGAAGTTGGAAATTTCACAGCGGGTCTCCAAGCTCTGAGTGTTCCTCAAATTTATACATGGAATGGGAATCGTCCACACTGGCGAAGTGGTCCATGGAATGGGCAGATTCTAATTGGTGTGCAAGATATGTATTCTGTTTACCTGGATGGATTCACTGTGGTAAATGATTCTTCTGGAACGTTCTATTTCACTGCGCCAGAGGGAAAATTCTTGATGAGAATTATGTTGAATTCGACGGGAAGTTTGGTTCAGACGTTGTGGAATGGTCAGACGCAGAACTGGGATATTACATGGTTGGCACCTCAACAAGAATGTGATGTTTACGGGACTTGCGGGCCATTTGGGAGTTGCAATGCTCTGACTTCGCCTATTTGTTCTTGTCTAAGAGGGTTCGAACCAAATAATTCCGAGGAATGGGGAAGAGGAAACTGGTCTGGTGGATGTGTCCGGAGCAAACCATTGCTTTGTGATCGAAATAATAATACAAGCGGTGGTGGCAAAGAAGACGGATTCTTGAGGCTCCCATTTATGAAAGTGCCGGATTTTGCTGAACAGGGACCCTCTAGCTCGGTAGAGGAATGTAGAAGTCTCTGCTTGATGAATTGTTCGTGCATAGCCTATGCACGCGACACGAATCTTGGTTGTATGTTCTGGAGCCAAGAACTGATTGACCTACAGCAATTTTCTAACGTTGGTGAAGATCTTTACATTCGTCTAGCTTCTTCAGAACTAGGTACTTAATAGTTCTGTTGTCTTTGATAACTTGCCATATAATGCTTATGAACTCGTTATTTGGTTAGTAATTTGATGTCTGGTTTTTTCAGATGGGCACAAAGACAAAAAGCTTATTATTATAATTCCAATAGTTGCGGGTTCGGTTGCCATTTTGATTTGCATTTTCAGTTATTGGTGGTTGATGGCTAGGCGAAAAGGTAACACAGAATGAATAGTGTATAATATATTGGGCTTTACATGTGTATACATGTATCTATCAGTTAAAGATATTGATTTTCCTTGTGGAACCAGGAGCCAAAGGAAAATTAGATGCAAAGTTGTATGAAGCTAGGCAAACGTATCCGTCAGATTCGGCTGGAATAGTGATTAAAGATGATATGGATAAAGTTAATCTTGAAGAATTTCCATTATTCACGTTCGAGACTGTTGCAAATGCCACAGACCAATTCCATGATGACAATATGCTTGGAAAGGGTGGTTTTGGTCCTGTTTATAAGGTAATCTTTTTGTAACCATGGGCGCCAAGTACCATATTTTTTATAGCTCTCGTGCTGAAATTGCTGTTAACGTGTACGCAGGGTAAATTGGCAGATGGAAAAGAAATTGCAGTGAAGAGGCTTTCAACAGCATCTGGGCAAGGAATGGAAGAATTTATGAATGAAATGGATGTGATTTCCAAAATCCAACATCGAAATCTTGTAAAATTACTAGGATGTTGTGTCGAGAAAGAAGAGAAAATTCTTATTTATGAGTACATGCCTAATAAAAGCTTAGACGTGTTTCTGTTTGGTTAGTTGAAAATCAACTCTATTTTCTGTCCTTTCAAAGTGTCTTCTACTACTAAACTTTTATAATTTAATTTTAATCATGTAGATCCTTCACATCCATCACAGAAGATTCTCGATTGGAAGAAACGTTTTAGTATCATTGAAGGTATTGGGCGAGGCCTTCTCTATCTTCACAGGGATTCTATATTGAAGATAATCCATAGAGATTTGAAACCAAGTAACGTGTTGCTGGATGAGGACTATAATCCAAAGATTTCAGACTTTGGAATGGCAAGAATATTTGGAGGCAACCAAGATCAAGCCAACACTGGAAGAGTCGTAGGAACATAGTAAGCAATTGTTGAATTGACGAAAGTATTTTTCCCCTTAAAAGCATGTTTGGTATGCAGTATTTAAATAATACTGTGAACATGCCATTCGTTTTCAATATTCGATGATTCAAACGTATATGAATTTATCATATGTTGCAGCGGATACATGGCGCCAGAATATGCAATGGAAGGAAGATTTTCTGAAAAATCTGACGTCTATAGTTTTGGCGTTTTGATGTTAGAAATCGTGAGTGGGAAAAAGAACACCAACTTCTACAATCATGAATGGTCATTAAGTCTTTTGGGTTGGGTAAGCCACTTCGTAATCTTCCTTATTTCTATTTGAGTTTTCAAACATTCCATAGGATCTTATATATGATAATTTGTATTAGGCATGGAAATTATGGAATGAAGACAACGGTCCAACCTTCATAGATCAAACAATATACAAAGCCGAATTCCAGGGAGAGATGGTGAGGTGCATTCACATTGCACTATTGTGCATACAAGAATTCCCTAATAGCCGGCCTACAATTTCGACTGTTCTTGCAATGCTCAGTCGAGAAATTGTCGATTTGCCTGTGCCGGAGCAACCGATTTTTGCTGAGAAGTGGAACCGTTCTCATGTCACCTCTTCCGGGATGGGAGTCTCCATTAACGATGTCACTATTACAATGCTTGATGGACGATGATTTCGGACTTCTTTCGCACTGTTTTAATAAATCCTCAAAGTTACCTAAGTTTTCTATTTCCATATGCTACATATAATAGTTTGTTGAAATTAGATTGTTTATGTGCAATAATCATGAGTTATGTTCGTCCAATTATATGAGATTGAGACGGGTTACTTGCATTTTACAGAATATCAATTTAGTGTGAAAAATATATCTTCCAATTATATATGAAATTGAGATGAGGTTACTTGCATTCTACAGAAGACTAATTCAGTGTTCATCGAATTCAGATTGAATATATATTTTTCATCCAAATTGTTCACTTTTGTTATCCAATCACCATAATGGTATATCATATTTAATGTTGATGAAAATAAAGCATAAAATACAAACTTTGAAAGAAGATGATCTAACCTCCAAATAAATTTAACTAGTCCAACTAACTGTAAATCAGACAATTAGAAAATTCACATTTTAAAGTTTATGGTGCCTTGTTACCCTCTTTATCATAAAAGATGTATATTGCTAGGCTTTGAACACAATGAAGATGATTTGTTCATCGTCCACTTTGAGAACCATCTTTCCTACGTAGACATTAATTAATGCCAAGGCTGATAGCCAGAAAAGTTCAATCCAATATTATGGGAATATCTGCATCCTCCTTTATATTCAAACCAATGAAATCAGTTGAATATATGAATTTGTCAACATTACAAACACATCCTCAATGTTACCCCGAGAATATTTGATAGATTGATTTACAAGTTTAAGTGACACTATGGTTGGTTTTTCTTTTCCTAATCCAAGCTTCACACACGGTTAAGGGCATTGAAATAATATTTGCACCTAGGTAACATAATGCGTGCCCAAAATAATTAGAACAAACAGTGTAAGATATAGCGAAACTTCTTGAAATTTTTAATTTATGAGACAACTTTTTCTCAAGAATTGCACTGTAATTCTCTATTAAGCAGACAATTTCATGTTTCTCCATCTTTCTCTTGTTGAAAAGAATATCCTTCAAGAACTTGGCTGGAAATTTATGCTAATGCATCAACAAAACAGATGTTGATGTACAACTTCTTGAAAATGTCTAGAAATTTTGCAAACTGCTTATGAAGTTTATACTTCTGAAGCCTTCGAGAAATAGGAGTAGGAGGTTCATAAGCTTTGATTGGACTTGTTGTTTTAGTAGCAGACATCTCTGAGTTATCTTTCTGTTTTGTTTCCTTTGGTAGCTGCAGATTGTTCTTCATTTGCAGATTCAACAATCAATGATCTCCCTTTTTTGTTGGTCGTTTTACACAAATCTCTCTGGTAATTGTACCCACTTTTATGAGTTACGGTCTGTACTTGCTCTTTCGGATAAGTGAATGTATTGCTAGGCTCCAACCTTTTAATAGATACCTCTTGATTTTGATAATTTGTCTCATTTTTCTGAAGCAACTTATCAATTTTCTGCATATATTGATGGACCATCCCTCCAAACTCGATCTTTTCCCTGTTGAGATCACTAGAAATTTGGGTGTTACTTCCATCCCAGATTGTATGTTTGTAAATATGGGTTGTACACCTGCTGTGGATTGTTTACCCCCGATATTTGGGCTTTCATAAATCGGGTTTGTATGGACCTCATTCACCCTATGTACTTAGGCTTGCTTCGTTAGAGCATTAATATGAGCATTAGTGATCGATGTATTGTCTAATTCATGTAAAACTGCCACTTTCTTCGTAACTACTTGATCTGATGAGAACATAAAATGCGTCTTTGTAATAATTTTCAATGTTTGATTAACTGATTTATTCATAATGTACCCATTTGCTCAGTAGTCCACTTGAAAATAAATTTACTGTTATTTCACATATCCACTTCAAGTGCCTATTAGATGTTTTGACCTTTCCACTTGTTTGAGGATGGCAGGCAGTGGCCACACAATGGTGCGTGCCATATATGTGTAGCATTGACAAGAATAAACAATTGCAAAAGTGAGTTACATCATCTCTAATTATGGCCCAGGGTGCTCCATATCTTATGTACATTTTTTTTTTTTTTATAAACCACAGGACCATCCTTGCCTTTGCTTCCAGCATTTAGACGCATAGTCCACCACCACAATGATGGACCTGTTTGAGTAAGATGGGAGAAGTTGCCACATAAAGTCAATGCCCAAATCATCAAAAAGTTCAACTTCCAAAATGTTATTCATCGGCATCTCATGTTAGTCTAATATATTATCGGTACATTGATTTCTATTATATGATTGCGAAAATTTTGAGCATCTTTAAATAGTGTTGGCCAGTAGAAATCACATTGATATTCCTTTGTACCTGCTTTAGTATGACCAAAACGACAACTTTAAGCTATTGCACGGACTTATACCAATATTGGTTTCATCTTATCCTCAGGTATAAATCTTTGGATGATCTCATTTGCTCCGGTATAAATATGGCTCCAACTCATACATCCTCCTGAAAATAACAAATAAATAATACTCCTCTTGAAAATTTAAGTTGGGGGTATTGCATTGACCATGTTTGACCAAGCTTAGAACTTTACTTATAAATAAAAAAAATTTTATTGACTAATGAATTTTAAAATAACTTATTTTTATTGACAAATAGACTAGTAACTATAGTACAAGAAAAAAGCTTCCAATTTGTAAAAGGCTTAAAACTTTTAATTTGTTTGTTACTAAACCAACCATGTCATGGATTAATTTTTCTTTTGATTTGTTTTGAGAGCTGAAAAGGTGAGTGATCATTGCTTGAAATTGAAGGGAGTCTTCCCATAAGAGTGAACTCATTCCAACATTGATTGGCTACAAGCTTAGAAGTGACTTACACGTCGATAACTTTTAAGGCATTTCTTATTGATTGTGTTCCAAATTTCGAGCATCATGTTATTCCTACCGAGTGATATCAAATTCAATTTAGTAGTGAAGTAGAGTTATTTAAACATAGAAAAAAGGTTAATTAAATATGTTTAGACGCAAAGTAATTTGTAGTTTTTTGTAAGCTTAATTAAACACCCCTGCGAAATTAGTAACTCCCGATGGCAAAATTTATTCGTTATATTAGGATAAGAAACTAAGTACTTTCTGAACTATGAAAAACTTTCAGTATGTAAAATCCCTTAATGAGCATGAAAAATTCACAAAAGAAAAAAGAAAAAAGAAAAAGAGAAAAAAGTGCAAAAAGGGAAACCGGGACTTTGTGAATGGCTAATATGAGATGTTACATTCTTAAAACCAAAAGATGTAGATTGATCAACTAAGGGGTTGTTTGGGAAAAAATTATAATGTGATTATGAAAATGGTAGTTTATCCCACTAAACGTATGAATATATTAATTTGAACCAATTATCAATTTGTGATAATATCCTTTTAACAAGTTATTCCACAATGTTCCCTTAACGATTGTTCTTCCGACATTATCCCTCTCCCCTTGAAGAGAACTATAAACCCATATAGTTGGGTAATTGGACTAAGGCTAAGGGCATTGAATTGGATTTGGGCTTTTGTGGGCTACATTTCTACATCACTGGGTCTGGTTCAAGTTCAACTAAAATAATAATAATAATAATAATAATAATAATTCTGGACCCAAAGTGAGGCCCCCTAGATGTTGGACCCGAGGCATAGGCCTCATTTGCCTAGCCCCAGGACCGGGCCTGGGAACAACTCCTACTCAACTTTGCCCTAATGGCTCTAGATCTCTTTAGGTATGCATGCTCTTTCAGCATAGATTCATATTTATTTATTTATTTATTTATTTGTGAGCTTTCTTCATATCTTCAAAGAGGATGATGGAAAGGTCTCTTGTTAATATTATACTAGTGTGAAGGCTAGGACTGGGGGTTCGTTCCTTTATGAAGAATTGGAAGGAATAAGTTTTCCTATGTCAGGGAGGACTGGAAGTTCCACCTATTCGAAGTAGATAGGGATGACATGGTTCCTGTTCGGTACTACAAAATTCTAACGTTTTTGGCTAGATAGCTGTTGTCTTCTCAGCGGAATTTCCTTTAATGGATTTTTTGATCTATTTTCTGTTTGTTAAAGCTTACCATGCTGTTACAATTAGCTCGGAGACTAAACAAAGGATTGATATAGCTAGTGCCTTGAATGTTGAGCAGAGATCGAACAGTTTCCTGATCCCTAATTCTAACTTCTTCAATATCGGTCTTTTCCTTAGCAGTCCTCCCTTCCTCCTAAAAAGTTTGAGTCATGACTTTGCTATTTTTATTTTCATGAAATTTTCTAACAAAAAAATTTTCTTTGTAGGATAAATTCAGGAAATCTTCGAATTCAAAGCAGCGAAGTAAGCTAAGGCAGAGACTGATGCAGCTAGGAAAGCCCAATGAGCTTATATTAGAAGGGCCCCTACAGAAGATGAGTTGTAAGTCCTGTTAACACGTTGGTCATGATCATCTAGTTTATTTGATCTTCCTTCTCCACTAAGGTCTCTTCTTTACCAGAGCTTTCCTACACGCCCTCTGTAATGTCTTAATTTATAACAAGTCAAAAAAAAATGAAAAAAAAAAGAGATAAAGCAAAAGTGGAAAGCGGTGGATTCCAATTCAATCCAAAACCATTACCAAACTCACACAAATCCATTTTTTTACACACACAAACACCCACAACCGAGAAAAGCCAAATCAGAGAGAGAGAGAGAGGAAATGAAAAAAAAAAAAAAAAAAGAGGAAGAAGAAAGAAAAAATTAGAAAAATTTAACCAAGTTGTTAGAAAATAAGTGGTCTACACTATTAGGCTTGAAAGGTAAGTAAAAAGTTACTTATTGTCAAGTTATGTTCAATTTTATAGTTGTTAGATTAAATTCAATTTTATTGAAGGGGTTAAGTATAATAGCTATGAAATTGAGTTAAGTGAAAGAAAAACTAGTTTTAGTGATTAACGAGACTTTAGAAATCACTTAAACATGAAATGATTAAATTTGGGCATCGCTTATTTAATTATTGAAATTACTTAAAATAGTTAATTATTGATTTAAAAATTATATCATATTTCAAACTGCGATACTGATATCGAGAAAGCTTACCGATCGAGTTGATTTTGTGAACATAGTTCTGTGAGTGGAAAAACTTATATATATTTTAAAATTAATATATTAATTATACCTTTGATTTATGTGCAATTACGTGAATTTTTTGTACAATTAGATGGTTATGAAGACGGGTTCTTTCATTATGATATGTGTGAAAATATCAAGGTTGTATATGGATTACTTATGAACTGAAACGTG